GATTTTTTTAATTACGACCAACGTCACAATATAAAGTCCCCTGTTTTCACAGAAATTCTGTAGAAAAAGGAACGGTGAATTCCTCTTTTTCTGGACAATTTGTAGCTTGTTTAAATCGCATCTTCAAGAAAAAAGTATTTTCTGATGAGCGCTGCTGCGACATGCGTAATGTAAAAAAAATTACCCATGGTCAATTTGTGGATTATTGTTGACAATGTTAACACTAAATCATAATTTTGTACATTCAAGAAAACATTTTTTTTTGTGATAGACCACCGCTAAAGAATGAAGGATAAAAGCAGATCAAAAGCAGAGTGGAAATACTTTGAGAAGAATACACCGACAGAACGTCGCAGTCATTCTGTTTTGCGATTCCTTGGTAGTTTGATCCAACAGTGTTTCTTTATTTACTTTTAAATATACAATTAAGTATTATCAGAAATAAAAGAAAAAGTCGAAAACGAAAGTTGAAAGATTCTTTAAGGAGTATACTATTAAAGTTAAACGAGTAACATACAACTTAGTTTTTTTTTAATGAAACACCCTACATATTTTTTATATATTTTAAATGACCTCTTCTTAGGCTTTACAACTACAGTTTACTTTTGAAATTTCGCTGCGACGTTGCCATGTTATTTCAATTTTCTTGAATTTTTTTGACAAAGAAAGAGTTCCTAAAAAAATCGCAAGTCTTTATAAAAAAAATGTAAAACTACAATTTTCAGATATCAATATTTGTTGTTTATTTTTCAAATGGAACATCCTGTATTTTATTAATGTGTCTTATTCTATTGTTTATCCTGATTCTTCCAATATGTCGATGTGTTTTTGAAAAAAGTAAAAAATCGCATTAACTATCCACTTTAAATATAGAAAATAATCAGCAAAATAGAAAGACAACAAAAAACTAAAATAAGATGCAGTAATAATATATATGTGAAAAAACTGAAATATCGATATTTGAAAATTGTAAAAATTAAAACATTTTTTGTAAACACTCTGTATATGTATATGAATATTTAATCTCATTTATACCACAACACAGTGTGTACCTTTCTGTATCTCTTCCCAAAATATTGTAAGACAGACTTCAAAAACAAACCTGTGATTTTTTGTGAACCTTTCCATTGCTAAAAAACTCCAAGAAAATGGGAATAACGTGGCAACGTCGCATTGTAATTTCAAATATCAACTATGGCTTTAAAGCCTAAGAAGAGGTTAAAATATGTAAAAATATATAGTGTTTCATAAAAAAAATAAGTTGTGTGTAACGTATTAATAAACAGATCACTATATAGAGTTAAGAATAATTTAAGAGTATAGTTCTCAAAAAACCGTACAACTTCGGTCTTTGACTTTTTTCTATTTCTAATAATTAATGAGATATCCAGAAACGCGCGCTTGGTGACTCACCCTGTATATAAAATTATATTTTGTTAGAGCGCCCCCTTTTCAGAACGCAAATTATATGCCACGTGACCGCACTGTGATGACTCTACTTGTTCTTGTCATAGAAATTCTATTCTAATTTTTTCTTCCCAAGCCTGCTAGAATATGAAAAAATAGGTCTCCCGTTTTTCGACTGTCTCATCTTTGTCGACTGTTTGTGGTCTATTGGCGTTTCATCAGACAGATAACTTCCAAAACTACGGGATCGACTGTTGTAAACTTTACATTAACAATATCATGTAGATGGTAATAACGAGAATTTCTCTAGTCATTTCACTAACAACGTTTTTTAAATTTCATAAGATAACATACTTCTATACTTGTGGTTTATGAACCCGCTTTTATTTTTTACACTAAGAATCTACATTTTTTAAATTTTATATTAGCAGTGTAACACTCCTACCGGTTAATGACGGACGGAGTACTTTACAAATTCTAATCGCCCTGCTTTATAAACGACAGACGCTGTATTTATACATTTCAAACGACGAACGCCGTACTTACAAAAGACGTACGTCATATACAGTATGTCCCCGGATTGACTTCACAAGAGGAAAAAAATTACATAGGAATATCATTTTTTGCTTAATTCAAAACTAAAAATAACGAAGAACTTAGAAATATGAAAAAGTTAATTTTAAGAGTACAAACCGGGAATATTGTAGTTTTAATTGGAGATTTATTCGTTTTGAATTAAGCATAAAATGTTATTCCTATGTCATTTTTTGTAAAATAGAAAATACAGTTTTTTTTTCCTCTTGTGAACTCAATCCGGGGACATACTGTATAATTTGTAAATTCTGACGCCGTACTTCATAAATTTTGAACACCCCACTTTGTACACTCTGAACGATGAACGCAGGTATGTACAACTTTAAGAACGACGAACGTCGTACTTTGTAAATTCTGAAAGACGTATTTTGAATTTAGAAGCTAAATTTGTTGTGTGTATAGGGAATCTCTGTCTAATACTAACTAATTTTTTATATATGTATATTTCTTCAAGGAAGGATCTCAGAATTTACTGATATTAATTATCTAACTTTGAAAAATCCGTATTTTAAATTTTGAATAGGTATTTTCTGGTAACTTTTTGAATTTTTTATATGTTGTCGACTAGATAAATATTTTCAAGCAAGTGACAATGTTTCATTGTACACAAGTCAAAGTTAAATTATAGATGAAGTTCAGTCAAATAAGTCCAATTTCTTAGATAAATTACAAAATTTGATCTTATGATTTATTTTTAAGAGTGATAACCTCTACAAACAAAAATATAAATCAATGTATTGTGGATTATTAAACTACAGTTTGAAAAATATAACATGCATATGTTTGAAGCCAGACTGGTTTCATTTTCAGCTAAATTTAAAAGAATTTGGTGTTTTGTTGCTGGATGAACTTGAAAAAATGTTTTGAGCTTTTAGTTTTTTTTTTAAATTCAGGAGACTCTTGGGTAACCATGGCGTATGATATTGAGAATTGGAGATTTTTTTTGTAAATTATTTAAGACAATTTAGGGGACTTTGGTGTTCTATTTTTAGAAAATTCTGACCTACCTGTTTTTGAGTTAATTTTGGGACCCCGTTTTTTTTTTTTTGAAAAATTTAAAACAATCTTGAGGTTTTAGGTATTCCTATTTGGAAAAAATTTGAAAGTGCTTTGCAACCTCTAGTGCCTCTTCTTATAATAAGTTAATTAAATTTCTTAGAGGGTATCTCATTTGCCAAAGTCACTCTTATCTTGGCAGGTAGTAGCCCCGCCCACCCACCCTCTCTTTTCTTGGAAGGTATCTCATTTGCCAAAATCAAGTCTTATCTTAGCAGTTACTAGCCCCGCCCACCCACCCTCTCTTTGAAGAAATGTCATTTGCCAAAATCAGTTTTATCTTAGCAAATACTGATGACTAACTTTTACAAAAAATGATCAAAATTTTCAACATCTTCTCTAGTGTTTAGTTGGTTATGCTTTTGTCTTATTAATATTTTTTTTTTTTGGTTTCTTTATTAATGAAAAATACTTATTTTATTAATAATAATGTACAACGATTAATGACGAAGTTTTTTTTAAGTGCGATAACCGCTACAAACAAAAATAGAAGTCAATGTGAATTATTAAACTACAGTTTGATAAATATAATATGCATATGTTTAAAGCGATACTTTTTATTAAAATTATTTTTATTATTTATTTTTATTAATAAAGAAAATTATATGGAGTTTATGAAGAAAACAGATGTCTATAAGCACATTTTAAATACGTTTTACTTAACAACTCTTTCGGTGACGTCAGCAAATTTTTGGTCGAGATGAACAGACAATTTTTGGTAAGCGTTTGATCACATACACGATATTCTTAAAACAAGTCTAAATGATCGCATGAATCAGTCGAGTAGTTTCAGAAATTATCTGTCTAATAAAATCGCCAACAGACGACAGATGGGCGAAAACCAGAAGCTCACTTTTTGTATTCTACGAGCCATAAAACGTCAAGGAAAACATGAAAGTCAGTTTCCAAATGGATCCTATTATCTAAAGGGGAAATAAATTATTAAACTAGAGATAAAGTGCAGCATGTCACAGTGAACATCTCAACTGAAAACTCGAATCGACGCCATAAGTTTTTTAAAAGGAAATAACAATAAATTTTATATAGACAATCTAAAATTTGAAAGTAATTCTTTTGGTAGGAATATCCGTCTAATAAAATAACCGGGGTATACAGACAAACGGAGATGAAAACCTGGAATGTTTAGATTCCCTAAACTCTAAACACCAGAAAAACATGGTTAGACATTAACCAAACTAATCTCATTTCAGAATAAAAATTTCTGCTCTGCAAGTAAAAATTATTTTCATAGATTTGCGACATAGAAAAACAATTTTGAAAGCTTTCTGAACGTGAAAATTCCGTCTGTCTACTGGAAATATTTTGAAGATAGAATTTTCAGAGCTGTGCTACCGATTAATGAATTTTGAAATTGCACCTTGAAATACTTAATCGTGAAGATGAAAATTAATCTCGTAAAACTTCTAAAGTAGAATAGAGAAAAATATGTATAAATTTGCAAAATTATCAAGATTGTTAAAGAAATAAATAACTGATCTATCAAAGTGTCAAACATTTTTGAAAAAAATGAACCCTCTCTAACCAAAAATTCAAGTACTTCAAATTTGTAATTCTTGTATCACACGTGTTAAAAAAATTGTTTCGTTTTTTACTGTTAAAAAAAGTTCATAGATCAATTTGAGCATAACAGGAAAGCACGAGAAACCTCAGAACCCGATGTACCTATAACAAGATCAAGGGAAAAAAACATACAGTGTGCCGAACAAATTCATAAAAAAAAAAAAATAAAAGGACCAGAAGAAAAACATCACAAATACAAGACCTGGCTTTTGTTTTATGTACGAATCAAGTACGCCAACAAAAAAAAGTTACAAATGAGAATAAAACACGTAATTAGTACTTGAAAAGCTCTTCCATCCAGTTTATCTAAACTAATCTGATTAACCTTCAACGAATTTTAAGTTGTCTCCACAAAACTCAGCTTAATTTCCAACAATTTATTCAATTACTCCTTTCAACAGTCTAATCAATTCTTCAGCTATGTAAAACCGATTCAACTTTACTTTGGAATCCACACATTCCTCCACCAAACTAAACAATTCACTATGCAAAGTCGTTACCCCAGGGGGTGGTGAATGGAGAAGTCCATTTCGCATCATAGGCCAAGGCGCCCTTCGACTCAACAACAACTAAAACAAAAACCACATAATTAATACCATCCAGCTCGAACCGACTCTCCTCAAACTCACTCGACACACTGCATAAACATTGTGGTCGCTTATTGGGCTTTGACAAACTTCCTCTTCGCTATAAACGAAGTCTTCATCAGCGAAGTATTCGCTATAATGAATCATCTTGTTATCTAAAATTTCAGAGATGAAATAACGCTTTCGCTTTCTGTGTTGTTCTGTACCTTCGAGCTTTTGTTTCAGGATGACGTTTTCCAAATCGACGAAATATAAAGTGAAATTATCATCGACTGCGATGTTATCAGGTGATATATCTGTCAAATACAGCCTGAAATCGTGGTGTTTATGCGTGAAATGAATGGCAGCTTCCAGCAATTGTAAAGCTAAATAAGCTCGAACATGCCAGGGAGAAGTTTGAAAATGATTGAGCGGTAAGCCACAGTACTGTTCAATTATTAAAAAGCCACACCTTCCGTACAATTTCGGGACCGGCCAGGCTTGGTTTGATAGAAGCGTCAGGATTAAAGGCTCCACGTTCACTTGGAGAATGGTCCAGATTTGGTCCAGATCAAAATTAGAACTCATTTCGTTCAGGAAAGTTTTTGCGGTTTCTTTAGAGCACGGTCTGAAACTCCGTACGCCGTCATCGCTTTTCATAAAATTTAGGACGTCATCCTGCGCTACGTGGGTTCTACGAATTCTATCTAATTCCTCTTTGTGTCCTAACTTTTTCAAGACCACCCTCTTATCGCCGTACTCGGCGAAATACAAATTTTTCACACTGAATAAATTATAAAAAACATCCCCGAAGCTCTTATACGTGAGAGTGATTCTTTTATCGTCCACGTCCTTGCACAAATCAATTCCGTAACAGAACGGACACTTGATCGAATCCGACAAACTCGAAACTGGTCTTTGCGACAAAATCCCTATGTAAATTCCAGCGATTGTCGAGATTACCAAGACGATCAAAGCAAAATTCATCTTTCACTCTTCATCCTTCGCCCAGACGAACTAAAATCGGAAATATACCATTACAATGTATTGATTCCAGGGCTTGTTAAAAATTCCCGTAAATCTTCCCGACGTTTTTCCAACTTGTTAGTGCCCCCGTAAATCTCTCTGGCAAAAAGTTTTCGTGAGATATTTTTTAAAATGTAGTGATTCTTTGAAAGGTTTTTTTGGAACAAACGTTTGAGTGGAGGGTGAACCTGCGTTTCGTCTAATCATCTTATACGAAAGATTGCCAAGATGTGGAGTATCGATTTCCACCCCTCGAAAGCTTCAACAACTTTTCTCGAAGTTTTCGAGATAAAAATAGTTCGGTAATATTACAGGTGAGGTTCTACATAGGTTACGGCCGAATCCTGGGAGATTAGAAAAGTAAGTCGAGAGTCGATAAGAATTGGGTGGAATGAAGTTAGTGTGTTATGAGGTTATACTCGGTTTTCCTTTATAAGGTTAGGGCGTTTATTTTTGTCTGGATAAGATAACCGCAATTGTGGCTCCATCTACGAAGCGAAGAAAGAAAACTTTGATTTTCAACTGTAGCTCCACGCAGGTAAACGATGTACATTATATAGAAAATGACAGGGACGGACGATACATTATATTATTTACATATAAACGTACAAAAGTTCACGCTTAGTCAAAAGATACATTATTTTCATAAAACCGGAGAATGCTATTAGAAATCTAAATTTAAAACAAGATTGATGACGTGACGTATTGGCTGATTCACTAGATGAACTTTGAACGATGAACTGAAATAACACAAAGTATTTTCAATTAATGTAAACGTTTTCCCTAAATATTTCCACAATAGTTACAACCTTTCCCACTGCCAACAATGTTAAACCCAAACGTTGCTACTTCGACTATTTTTGCACGATTTACTTGATATTTTTACTAATTATATGTGTAACAAAATCTTTTTATGTTTGAAGTTTTACAACGCAAAAGTCTTTGTTTTGGAATACGATCCCTTATAAATTTAAGCAGATGTGTGAAAAGGCACGAAAACATGAAACTAGATATTCGTAAGACGAGAAGTAAAACGAAACGTCTTTTACGCTAGATGTAAGGGAGGGCGTTCTGCAAAGATTCCCACTGAAGGGTAAAAGAAAACTTCAAGCTGAACACTTTGGAAGCGAAGACAAAATTTTAGGTGTTTTTTCACGATAATCGTAACGTTCACGGCAAATTTTGGAAAGATGTGTTGGTCGACATGATTATAATATACATGTAAAATTTGACATTGAGAAGATTGACCATGGGTCAGTTGCGCGCCACGGTCAACCAAAAATCTGCAGATGGTGTTAATACCTCCGGGCAGTTGCACGTAACTACCCTAGAAGTAAGGGATAGTTGCATACAGTGGTCAGAAAAATTTGCATATAATCTTAAGGGTTAATACCAAAAGCAGTTGCTGCCTATTATAATAGTTTTTTCTATCAGATTTTTTTGCAATAGAGGGTACACAAAAAAATTTGCAAAGAGGTTATTTTTAAAGTCTGTATTAGAATATTTTGTGGAGGAATAAATAAAAGTACGCGCTTTATTGCGAATATTAAATCGAATTTTAATATAGTGGTTATAAAAAGATTCTAAAAGTTCACAGTTTTCAAATGTCAATATTTCAATTTTTCAAAATAAAACACCCTGTATTTTATTACTATATCTTGCTCTATTTTTGTTCTCATTGTTCCAATATGTCGAAGTCTCTTAAAAAAATAAAATACTTAAAAAAAAAGAGAACAAAAAATACAATAAGATGCAGTAATAAAATATAGGATGTTCTAATTGAAGAAACTGTAATATGAATATATGAAAATTGTAATATTTATTTTTTATAAGCACTCTGTATATGAAGATCCAAGTTTATTTATACCACAACTTATTTATCTCTCAACAAACTATTGTAAGACGGATTTTAAAGATGAGCCTAATGTAATTTTTTGTGAACTCTTCCACTGCTAAAAATTAAAAAAAAAATAAATAACGTGGCAACATCGCATCGGAATTTCAAAAATAAACCGTGGTCGTAAAGCCTGAAAAGAAGTAAACCAAAACGTATCTAAATATACCAGGTGTCCGGAAAATGGCAGATTAACTCTTTGGTATGTTATGTACGGGGGTTTCTGGAGTTACAAAAAAATTGTATAAAAATAATCGTAATGTTTTCAGCTTTTGATCATTTTTTGTAAAAGTTAGTCATCATTTGCTAAGATAAAACTGATTTTAACAAATGACATCTTCGAAAAAAGGAGAGGGTGGGTGGGCGGGACTAGTTGCTGCTAAGATACGACTGATTTTGGCAAATGAGATACCCTCTAAGAAAAGAGAGAGCAGGTGAGAGGCTAGTACCTGTTAAGACTGATTTTGGCAAATGACATTCTCTAAGAAAATAGAGGGCGGGTGGGCGGGGTTAGTACTTGCTAAGATAAAACTGACTTTTGCAAATGACATACCTTCTAAGAAAAGAGGGGGTGGGTGGGCGGGGCTAGTAACTGCTAAAATAAGACTGACTTTAGCAAATGACATTCCCTCTAAGAAAACAGATGGTTGGTGGGCGGTGCTAATACCTGTTAGTAACTGCTAAAATAAGACTGATTTTAGCAAATGGCGTATCCTCTAAGAAATTTAATTCAATTATTATAAGAAAAGACACAAGAACCTTCAGAGCACTTTCAAATTCTTTCCAAACAGGAATACCTAGAACTTCAAGACTGTTTTAAATTTTTCAAAAAAAAACGGAGTCCCAAAATTAACTCAAGAACAGGTCAGGTCAGAATTTTCCAAAAATAGGACATCAAAATCCCCCAAAATTATTTTAAATAATTTATGAAAAAAAATCTCAATGAGCTCCCAAAATAATACACCATGGGTACTCAAACACTGCGGCACTCAAGACTTTTTCAAATTCATAAAAAAAACACCAAGAGCTCAAAAGATTTTTTCATTACTTCAAACTTACTACGACCGCCATCAAAGCCTTCACTTCTAATGTACTGTTAAAACACACTGAAAATTTTTTTAGCATTTCCAAAGAAAATAAGAATTTCCGGTTTCGCCGACATTGATAGCAAATCTATCATTCGAACCGAATCGTCGATTACCTAACAATCAAGAAACAAATACACCGAAAGAGCTTTAAAAAATAGGTAACGATTGACACTTAAAATTTACGAAATTTCAAAGCCAACTTGATTTACAATTTTTATATTCACCCTGTATAACGCTTAAAACGATACAGATTTTATACCGAATTAAGTATTAATTGACACAAAAAGACAACGATTGCTACTCGAAAGAATACTTTAATAATTGTGACAGATGGAGTTCTGCAGATATTCATTCTCACTCCTTATTTTTCAATGTTCTTTTAAATGATCTACATTAATAGTAACAGATATAAAAATAAACTTTATTTTATACAATTTCTTTTGGAAAAATGTTCAGAAACCAGTTCGACTTGGGATATTGCATATTTCGTATCACACAGAAGTCGATTATACTGTGGAAATCAAACTCTGATTTAAAAAGTTTAAAAATTCTTAGTGCGAAAATTATTTTTTGCCGCTTTAAACTTTTCCTTTCGGAAAGTTAGGTCCATATATTTTTTCTGATGTTGATATTCAGCATTTACGAACTATACGAATATGTAAGTCCATAAACAAGAATATATATAATCTGGAAGTTATTTGTCTGCTGCTTTGTAAACAGTACAAGTATATGTTAAGAATCTCCGCCTAAAAGATAATATCAAAAAAATCCAATATTAGAGCTAACGGAGACAACTGTCTCCCATTCTTTTACCAAATGCCACTATCCATCATTCCATGACTACCGTTGTTGCAGCGTCATTATAATTAATGATACCAATAAATCTTGATAGACGTGAGGCTTATTACATTCAAATTTCGAGTTTTCACAAAATTAATTGAATGAGTTTGTTCGCATTTAATTGACATTATTATCGTTGTTGAATTACTTAATTAAATTCGAATCTTCCGGATCGTAGAACAACCTAGAACGACTTAATATTTTCAGCACTCTTAACACATGAAAAGTTTCCCCATGTTTATAAATAAACAATCATTAATCGTGCCGGATTTATTTTATTTCCAACTTTAAAAAACACTGTAAATTTTATGTCACTGTAAACTTCAGAAACATAAAGTTAAATTCATTACCATGATTTAACAACTCAGTGAAAATTAACAAACGGCGGTGAAGTATTTTCGCGTATTAATTAACGATTATACACTTCACGACGTGGTATAACCGTTTTTGTGCTTCGCCTGGTCTTTAAAATATACTGCAGCAACAGCAAGCAAGCACACGATGAACTGACGTGCACTACCCAACAAAAATAGAAAACTCTACAAACCACACAAAAACCAAAATCGCAGCGAGAACATTAATCGAAGCCGATCCTTCGAACTTTTTGCTGCGAAATCGAATCACCACAAATGTAATAATCTGATACAAATCTTACCCCCTAGCCTACCACAACAAAAAATTCCTCGCAAAAGTGACACTTAACTGACATCTAAAGCTACAACTTTCGACGTGAATTTTCTGGCGCTTGTTAACGACAAACGCAAAACTACTACCGCAAAGACAACAAACCACAAATCGTCTTACCGTAATCGTATTAGTTTCGTGGTCGCCGGAATGCTGCTATTTCATCTGCAACAAAAAAAAACGTCTTGGTTAAATCGAATCAATGACGGTGGAACAGCCTGACATTTTAAAACATGGTTAATAAATCTCCCTTATTCCTGGACAAATTGCGACGTTAATACGCGCAGTAATGGTTGTTTTATTGTTGCACTGACCGGTCTCTGATTGCTCCGACATCATCCCCCCAGAGATTCCCTAAGAAAGGGAAAAATCATCGATTCCAATCACAATAACAGCGCCGAAAATTGATTTCGACGTGTCGCGACAAGGCGACCACGTTCGGATCTTTGGAGAGAAGTCGACGCGACGGGATAACAAATCCGGAACTTGTGTAAAGTGGAGTCCGTCGAATAGTGAACATTGATTTTTTGTTCCAAAAGTGCTTATTTGACTGTTCGGTGTTATAATGGTGATGATTTGCAACGCTTGCATGCGTTTCGGTTGCTTGTCCGACGGACGTCACTCACTATAACCGAAAATGTTCACGATTCGGTGGACTCTACTTTACCACCTAATTCTGATTTATATTGTATGTATATTTGAATAATATTATTCAACACTTAAAAAAAAAAAAATGTAAAAATAACAAGCAAGACAATAGAGCTGAAGTCGGCCCTGAACCGCCCGCAAGATCTTGGTACAAAAACCTAATTTATTGCGGAATTTCGTGCCGAGGGCAAATGCATAAAAGTGCGCTTAACTTTTTCATGTTTTCATGTCTTAGAAAATCTGAAATTACACGGTTCAATTTCATGTAAAATTTCTTCGGAATAACGTAGGTTAGCCATATTTCGACGAAACGAGCTGCATATAGGGCGGCCACTTGACGTCGGTTTTGTTGACAGCACGTAACAATGAAATTACGCAGTGAGGAGCCCGTCAGAGGAGGCTGGAGATTCAATTAGGGTAAAAATAGCTATGGTTCTTTTTTCGTACGGTTCGCATATTTAGGGTTTAAAAGGATTTGATGTGTGTCCGTTGTGACAGCGTATCCCTTCAACCCCGACAGATTATTAATTGAAGTACGTGCCGTGCGCACCGCCGCCTCCATCAACCCTTCCCTGACTATCAAAATGTCACTTTACTATTCCGCTTCTCTTCGCCAGTTCTGAGCAGAGATTATGAGTTATTACGGTAATGGATGGGGGATTTGGAGATATTTAAATAAAAATGTTTAATATAGCGTGGACTTACAAATCGTTAATCGATTCTGACCTCTTTACCGTACACTGACATTTCTTTCGGTGGGATCATCGTGGAAAAGTAACACGGCACGAAGGTGCGTTAATTAATATTTTCGGTTTGTGTCACATTCGAGCCATTTTATTATCCCTATTCGTATTTGAAAAAAAAAACCTATATTATTTCGTATATCCAGTTAAAACAGCTTAGTAAAGAAAAAAATTCAATTTCAAGTACAACTTTTTTAAAACCTGTAGAACTGTAATCGACGTCACTGACGTGCAATGTCGATGGAGCAAAAAATGCTACCTCACACGTCTAGTCGAATTGATCAGTTAGAGCCAAATTTATCGTAAATGTTGACGTCGACTGGCAACAATGAGGTGCAGACAAAATTACCCTCAGTCTAATGCACCTATGAATCCAAATGTTTGTTCATGGAAGCGGCGAAAAGCTTCAACAGTTTTATCTTACGATGCTTTTATATTTCATTAAAAAACGCTACACTACAAAAAAAAAATGGTCGAAGGTTATTTCGACAGAACTACGGTCGCCCTTGAAGTATAATCCGACAAATTTTGATTAAAGATTTACCATACTTCCGATGACCTTAAACGTTTAGCATTTTCAAGATTAATTTGTAAAATGTTATATAATTTTGATTTTAATTTTGCCAAAAATTTGGATATCAAAGGTAAAAACTCAACAAGGATTCATAAATTATACATGCAGGAGTATGTTATTCTATACAATATACAAACCGTTTATTCGGCAAAAATTTTAGAGAAAACGTCGTCACACTGCTGGTAGGAATTAAACAAAGTTTGGTTAACGTTTTACCATCGCTGACTCACAAATAAAATTTGGCAACAATCTGGCCAGTAGTTTCGAAGATTACCTGTCTAATAAAAATTGACGGAGGAGACAAACAGCCCACGGAAACGGGGACCTACTTTTTCGTACACTAGGAGTCTTGAAGCGTCGAGAAAATATAAAAGTACGCAGTCGTCCGATTACAATTCTAGTCCTTAGCTTACACTCAGGAAGTAAAAAGCATTACTGTGTGTTAAAAAAATGTATCGAAGTTTATTTCGACAGAACTTCCCTCGCACCTGGAGTACAAATCCAACAAATCCCTCTCCTTTGAAAAATTATACAATTTGATTTTTAGATTTTTAATTTGTGATAACCTCTATAAAGTAAAAATTATCCGCATAAATCACACCCCCGCAGCCTCTACACCGCACAAGTACAGACAATGTAAAATAAATTTAAAGCAGAACCGACGACAAAAAATTGTCCTCTCAGCAATAATAACATGCTGAACTTCAAGTGTTTATGTTTATCCATCGAAAGAGTACCTAGCAGATTTTTTTTCTCTATTAAATAAAGACGGGATAGATATAGGTGGAGCTTATATTGTGCCTTTTCTTTCTTAATATACATAGCCATTTTTTCACAACAAGAAACGTAAAGCATGGTTAAAATGGTACATTTTTGCAAGGAAATATGGATTTTGTAATTACGGGGCGGAGCCAATTGCAAAATCGATATTTCCTTATATACATTTTCCATTTTAAACATGTTTTAAGTTTCTTGTTGTGAAAAGAAATATATACATATTAAAACAAAAAAGCAAAATGTAAACCCGCCCACCCACCCTATCTCAATTGTGATGATTTTTTTATTCCCCGAGAACCAAGGAGCGCAACTTGCAACTGCAAAACACTTCTTTCTTTACAAGAAATTAAAAAAAAATATTTTTGAGTATTGTGTTGTTCAAACCATACTAGGTATATAACAAAAAGTCAAAAAAAAAACAAATAAACACGTTTAAAATGGTAAATTTTTGTAATGAAATATGGATTTTGCAATTAGGCTCTGCCCCTAGGTTTGCCAACGAATGAAAACTTCATTACTATTTAGATCAGGGCAGGTATGGGTGGGGCTTAATCTTTGGCTTTAATTTTTTCTTAATAGTGAGTACGTTTCTGGCCTTAGTTGTTGAATATTTTCACTATTTTAGACGAAATTCTTCTTAAATCCATTGTCAAAAAGCAATTTTCGAATTTGACGGATAATTCCGAAACGGCATTAAACATCGAGTTCCGGTTTTTGAAGCCTGATTGCAAAATTCATATTTCCCTACAAACATGTTCTAAGTTCCTTAGTATAAAAAAAATCGCAATGGACATACGTAGTATTCTTTGAACAACACGATACTCAAAAACATGTTTTTAATTTTTTGTAAAGAATAAGTATCTTTCAGTTAAGCTTCTTTAGTTCACGGCGAATAAAAAAAATTATCACAATCGAGACAGGGCGGGTGGGCGGGCTTACATTTTGCCGTTTTGTTTTATTATGTGTAGACTTATTTCCACAATATGAAACTTGAAACTTGATTAAAATGGTAAATTTTCATAAGGAAATATCGATTTTGCTATTAGGCTCCGCCCCTTATTGCAAAATTCATATTTCCTTGCAAACATGTTCCATTTTGACTATATTTTAAGTTTCTTGTCGTGAAAAAATGACCATATATATTAAAGAAAGAAGGTAAAATATAAGCCCCGCCCACCCACCCTGTCTCAATTCTGATGATTTTTTTTATTCGTCGTCACCCGGGAGGCAAAGCTTAATTGCAAAAACCTCATTTTTTTACAAGAAATGACCATGTGCAAGTGCAATATGTTCTTAAGTAATCGTATTATTCAAAGGAAACTAAATGTGTTAATTAATTAAAATTAGTCTTATCGTGACAGTTACTAGCCCCGCCCACCCACCCTTTCTTTTCTTAGAAGAAAGCCAAAATCAGTTTTATCTTGGCAAATACTGATGACGAACTTTTGATTAAAATTTGGAAACATTATGAGCACAAGGCAGGCATTCTAAACATCTTCTCTAGTGTTTAGTTGGTTGTGTTTTAATGGATTTTTCTTCTGTTGGTTTTCTTTTTCTTTATAATTTATAAATGTTTTATTAAATATTTTGTGGGTAATTTATTAATGAAAAATAACAGCTTGTTTTATTAATAATAATAATAATAATGCACAACGATTAATGACCACTGGTTGTTATGGTTATTGTCCTAAAAAAAAATAAAAGGTGGATTTCAACTACCATCATTACTAAGAAATCAGAAAGTAGGCCGGAGGGATTCACGCATTAAGTGCGTGCAGTGTTGCCAATTTTTAGTTCCCGAAACCCCCGTATATAACGTAGGTACTGAAGAGTTATTCCACTATTTTCCAGACACCCGGTATACTAATTTCGAAAAGGCTTTCGCTAAAATAGATCCTTGTTTATTACTGCTAAAGCTCTGGAATATTGGCTTCACAAATCCGTTATTGAAATTTTTAATATCTTATCTGACCGGTAGAATCTCATTTGTGAAATCCACAAATTTTAGCTCTTCATCTTCTGAGGTCTCACAGGGATCGAACTAGCACCATTGTTGTTTTTGCTCTTTATTAACGATCTTCTTGATGCTATTCCCTGCAATAAACTTCTGTTGGCTGATGATCTCAAATTATACCTAAGCACATAGTATTTTTGAATAACACGATACAGTCTTACATGGTAATTTCTTGTAGAGAAATCATAAGGATTTGGCAATTAAATTCCGCTCTTTTGGCTCTCGACGATTAAAAAAATCAACACAATTGAGACAGGGCGGGTGGGCGGGGCTTTTTTTTCCTTTTTCTAACACACATAGTCGTCTTTTCAAAACAAGAACCTTAAAACATGTTTAAAATGGTAAATTCTTGTAGACAAATATGGATCTTGCAATTAAGCCCCGCCCCTCGATCTGACAACGAATGAAA